ACTTTCAAATGATCAGACTCTATGCGCAAAACCTTTCAAGGAAAACGCAAGTTCAAGAGGCAGCTGTCGTCTACATGAAAGCTGGACTACATAAAGAGGCGATAGAAGAATATAGACTTGGTTTAGACTGGAGAGAGGTCATAAGGCTTATGACTGTATTGAAGTATAATGAATCTGTCAAGCGAGATGTGTTGGGGAAGATTGCGGATGACCTGGTAAAAGAGAAAAGGGTAGAGGAAGCTGTGATAGTGTTGGAATACCATAATAAAGATTATAAGAAGACGATCAGACTTTGATGGACTTCAAGTCCTTCAGGCACGCCATATGCCTAGCAGTATCACTGGGTCTTGATTTAGAACTGCCTACTATTGCCGACGGTTTGAGCAAATATCTAGGCGACCTAAGGAAAACTGTTGTCGTTCAAGGATCAGTTTGAACGGTACAGAAGGCGTCTGAAGATCGCAAGAAAGGAACAGATGAACAGGTTCGAGCTAGACGCATTGGGCATCTACAATCGAAATACGGAAGAAGAACTCTCAGACATTGCTAGCACTAGTTCCTCCATGCCATCGACTAGCTCTGGACGAACTACTCCACCACTTTGACAGCAAAGAACAGGCGTAAACATATCAAGGAACTGACCCCTAAGCTGATCAGATTGTGCAGTCCTTTGAACTTTCGAATTGCTTGCAAATCCGTCCTCACTATAAACTGCATTTTTTCAAAAATGAAAGACAAAGTCCCGCTGCTTGGCTTAACCAATACAGTCTACTCCATCAATTGTAACAACTGCAACCAATATACATAGGTTAGACCTCCAGATCTCTTAAAGGAAGGATTACACACAAAAGTGATGCGAGGCTTCATCCTGAAAGATGCGCTCTAGCATCTCATGTTAACACAACAGGGCATTCTATGAATTACACAAGTATCAAAGTTCTTGATAAAGAAAAACACCTTTCCAAACGTTTATTCCTGGAAATGTCCCACATTTTCATGAATAACAACTGTATCAACAAAAGACAGATGTTAAACAACTGAGTGTCATTACTCATATTTGCTAAACTGCGAAAATTGGAGAACTTACATATCTCCCCAAATTTCGACTCTCACAACCATAAATAGAATCTGTGTTTTGGCCGATTCCACCAGTAAATTTCATTCCACTCAAAATATAATAATTCTCTTCTCACCATTTATTAATAATTGTTATTTAAATTCCCATTAATTAAAATATAGTTTATTCAACTGCCTCTGGTCGGTTTAACAATTTCTCACATAACATTCTGAAAATCACATCATCTGAAATGATTTGGCAACGTTTGGCACACGCCCACAATTCGTTCCATCTTTCAACACAGACATTGACAACCTTAGGCCTCTGTCAAGGGTTTCATCTCACTCACTATTCCATGACCACATTTTGTGCAATATCAGTGGCTTCACGATGTAATGCTCTAATGTTTTTAAATAATTTTAATCTGTTTGTAACTTGT